TAACCTAACAATGTAACAAATGATTTGTAAGAGAAAAAAAAAATGTAAAATGAATAATATGGTTTACTGTAGATTTGGGCAGAAATTCTATGGTGCCCATATGGGCACCATATAATTTCTGAGATTTGGGCGGAAAAATGCTGGAGGTTTTATTAAATGCCCTGCCTACAATATATATACTAGAACTAGTACTCAACTTGTGCATTTGCACAGATACGAATACTTTAAAAAGATAAAAATATAAAAAAATAAAAATAAATCATAATTTAATTCATTAAAAAAATATGAATTAAGAAAATAATTTTCAAAATTGATTTTGATCAAGTAATTGCTATGGAAGAGCCGTTACAACCATTTTCTTTATGCTAATACACCCGGCCATTTTCATGAGTGGGTGCGACTTAAAATTTGAGTACAATTTTGTAACTCCCTTAATTGGTTTATGCTCATAATTTATGACATTCAAGCAAGTTATTTTGTAACTTAAAAATGAAATTGAATGCTGAAAAATTTTGGAGGGAGAATAAAATTTAATGCAGGGTAATAAAATTAAATGCTTTGTTGCTCCTCTTTATATATATGATTCGACCCTGTGCATTTGCACTTAAATAAATAAAGTATTATAAGTTATATTTATATATATAATATTAGAATTATAAATTAGATAATGATATTATAATTTAAACATAGAATATTTTAAGTTATATTTAAGCATATAATGTTAAAACTATAAGTTATATAATGATATTATGTTTTAAATTTTGAATCACTATATTAATTGCATAAAATATAATAAATAATGTAATTTTTGCAATTTTGAGGGATCATGACCAAATAATTAGCTAAACATATTAAATTTATTGTAACAATTGTTTATGCGATTTTAAGAAATTTGACAATAAAATTAAAATAATTAATTTATTTGAAAAAACAATCGCTAAATCAAATAAAAAATATAATAAAGATTTTAGAATAAATAACTTGAATAAAAAGCTTACAATAAATTTTTTATGTTTATATAACTTTCATATATCATTTAGTGTAAAATATAATTATTAGTTTTAATAATAACTATTATATGATACAATAAAATAATATAATTATTACTCAAGTAATATAAAATAATGTAACAGTTTTTGTCCTAATTACCTATAAAAAACGTGCAATAAAATATTTTATCTTTACTTGGATATGGTGAATTAATGTAGTAATAATAATAATATTGAATAGTAACTGTAAACAACAAATAGTTTTATTAAATTTTGTGTTAGTATATATATAGAGAGAGAGAGATAGAAATGATAAAATCTAATTGTAATGGATTTTGGCAGAAAAATTATGAGGTTTTATTAAATGATATGCTAGTAATTATATATATATATATATATATAGATTTAAAATAAAATATTTAATATTTTACTTTATCGTAAATACTTAACCATTAGCAGCTAAAATTTTTAGAAATATGACGGAAAATCATATATAAATAATTGTAAAGATCTAAAATTATATTAAATTTTTATTAGTTTATAAATAAAAATTAAAAACAAAATATTTAATTTTTAATCCTTCAGTTAATTAATTGGTATATAAAAAGAAAGAATAACTAGTTTTTTATTTTTCATAGAAAAAAATCAATATGAATAAATAATAATTTTTCTAATAATAAAAAAAATATTAAAAAAAGTTAGGGGATACATAATTTTCTTGATTTTTCTAGTAGAAAATAAAATTATTATTAAAAGAAATTCTCCTTATATATAATTATCGAATGTGCCGAGCCTAAGCGGCAAGCTCGCATGCTTTGGGTTCCTATGTGGCAAAATTTCATGCTTCATTATTTGACTTGGATATATACTTTGAGTTACATCCAATTAAAAAATAATTAGGTCCGAATTATCCTTAAATATATTAATTACTGTAGTCATGTTAGATGTATTAAGTGCATTTTATTATCATTTTCTACTATAACTATTGAATTTGTAAATGTATTTTAAAAATTAATAACTTTTGTATTATATATTAGTTTTACATATATAATATACCAAATTAACCGTCGTTTGATAAGTTTCGTTTTGACATCTATATTGTATGCATAAAATATATAAATTATATTCATCTTTATCACAATAATTAAATTATTTATTGATATTAACTAGAAAACAAAATTATTTATCAATTAATATATTTATGTTTAAAGTATTTATATGGTATAAATTAGAAAAATTATTATAATATAACACATGTAAATCGCACAAATAACAAATTATTCTAAATTATATAATGATATATAATTTTTGTAAAAGATATTTAATTATTAAAATATTTTTTTTATTAATTTTAAAATTTAAAAATAAATTTTTTAACATGCGTAATAAACGGGGTGATGTTCTAGTAAATTTATTATTAATCCAAATTGGACGGGTGCTTGGATAAAGTCGGAATTAATTTATTTATGCACCGCTCTAGTAAATTTATTAATCCAAATTCGACGGGTTATTTATGCCCCGCTTCGCTGATTAAACTCAATTCAGCTATAGATTCCTTTTCTGCTACTTTAGGTTTAGGTATTGAAATTGATTGTTTATTTATTGGATTTAAGTTTTTAGTTATGAACAATTTAATTTAATTTAATTTAATATTTGTTGTCTTGTAGAATTACCGATCTCGGCTGTCTTAACCTAGAATGGATGAAAGTGACTGATCTCGGCTGTCTTAACTTAGAATGGATGAAAGTGAAGACAGCCGACATCAGTCACCAACATATTGAGGTAATTCTACAAGACAACAAATATGGTTATTCTGTTTGGTAAATCAAATTATTCCTAACTAAAAACTAAATCACCGTATAAAAAAAAAAAAAGAAAAAAAAAACTTCATTATTGTGGTTAAATTATTGCTCATCCCTGCCTCAGCTATTTCATCAACTTTATTCGTCTGAACTGCTTTCCAATCCAAAGCCTCCTATGTGTCTCAGTATCATATGTGTTATCAGCAAACTCACCTTCCATTTAACGTTTGCCAATAGACTCTCTATCCCTATCCGATGAGTTGTTGATGGAAGTTGTTGCTTGCATCCCAGGCCAAAATGTTTATGACTCAAGGCTTGTTTGCCACTTATGGGCTCCTATTCAAATGTGTACTTATAAAGCGCTTCTATTGTGTTCTACTGCAGGCAGGCAGGATACTGAAAATGTGGTTTATTAGATTTATGGGGTTAATGCTTCAAACATTGTTTCCTTGAAGGCATTAAAATCTGTACTGGTGAATTATATTTAGATTTTTGTGTTTTTCATCCATAAAAAAATAATCAGATGTCGGATTCAATTTTATTTCGATTTTTACTTATTTTAATTTATGCTTTTTGATGAAAATGATTTGTATGATTTTAGATCATGTTGGATACGGTTATTTTACTTTATAAAATTTTATATTTGTTTTGTATTTATTTATTTATCTATCTTTTTTTATTTTTTTGTGAAGTGATTGTCTGTGTATACGTTGATTGTTTGTTAGATAGTGGTTTATATGAGGTTGTTTTGTAGTGGGAGATGTATGTGATTATAGATATTTATAGTTTCTGCTTTGTTAATTGGAAGTCAATTTTTTTTAAGAACTATTTGTTATGTTAGTTTTAAGTATTGATTGTGTTATTATATTGAAAATATTCTGCTGGTTCAAGTATTTTTTTAGTTGTCTTTGTCAGGATATTTTTCTTTTTCTTTTTTATAAATGTTTGCTCCGGGAATGGGATCTTTTGATAGGAGATTCAAAGCTTTTTGGGTGCAAATTACCAAATTTTAATCGTAATGATACTATTGAGTCAATGATGGCAACGAGATCGCCTTGGCATACTTGGAGAAATATGATCGACGTTGGGCTTAGACGTGTCCCTATTGCTGCTGCTATTTATTTATCTACTGTTTTTATTTAATAAGGGATTTTATTACTATTCTTATTATTATTAGTAGAAGTATTATTTCTTATTTAGTAGGGTTAGGAGATTATAAATAAGGGGAGTCTTTCATTTGTTACAGCGGCTTTGAACAATTGAAATAAAATATTCCTTTGAGTTTTATCTGTTCCCATTGTACGCTTTAATATGCATCAGTTGGTATATATCAGTAGACCAGATCGATTAACGATGCCGCCTAAACGAAACAACGACAACGATCGACGAGATGCTCATCTGGAGGATTTGGATCGAAGAACAGACGATATCGGCTTCCAACTTGAGAGGGTTGATCGGCGAGTCGAAGGGCTTTCGGAGGGTATAGATGAGATTCGCCTGGCTATGCGTACTTTGTTAGCGGATGAGCACACGGACCGCGACCCGGCAGGCCGTGGGGGTCGCGGTGGGCTTCGCGGCGGAAGAGGCGGCAGAGGGCATGGCGGGGGACACCGCTGTCGTTCCCCTCATCCGTCGCACGACGATGACAGCGGCGACGATACCATGTCGGAAGTCAACCCTTTCGGTTTCCGGCATGGCCAGCGAGAAGGCGACGATGGCAGGCGGTACGCGGGGCACCGTGACGGTGACGGCAGAGGTGGCGACCGTGGACCGCGCTGCGCGGTAGAGGTTAGCGATAGCCGCTAGGAATCCGGGTTCCGCGTGGAGGTGTGCCGGAGTTTTCGGGCGTGCTTGACGCTGCTGAATTTCTCGATTGGATTACCGCAGTGGAACGAGTCCTTAATTTTAAAGATGTTCCAGATGAACGACGCGTTGGGCTTGTGGCGATGCGTTTGCGTGGACGAGCAGGAGCGTGGCTCACACAACTGGAGCAGCGGCGGCATCGGCTGGGCAAAACCCCTATCAATTCTTGGGTTAAGTTTCGTAAACACATGGAAGAGGAATTTCTCCCTCACAATTATGTTCGTACTATTTATCAGAAATTCCAAACACTTCGTCAAGGGAATAGGTCGGTTGACGACTACACTGAAGAATTCTATAAGCTGCTCACTCGAATTGATAGTTGTGAGACGTCGGACCAGTTGATCTCTCGTTACATCAGTGGACTTCGCATACCGATTCAATATGCCGTGAACATGTTTATACCAGACACCCTAGGCGATGCCCACCAACGCGCCCTTATGTCGGAGCAGCAACAGGCTCGACGGACCACATCGGGCTTCACTCCGGCGCGAATGGGCTCGGGAACGGGTAACGGGGCTACGGGTTTCTCAGTAGGCCCGTCTTCCGCTGGGCCCTCTACAGTGGGGCCGGTTCGAGCTGCCACACCGGGGCTTGGAGGGTCAACCGCGACGACCGGCACGCACGTGGGTCCTCGGCCAGGTGGCGGGTTGCGTTGTTTTTCTTGTGGGGATGTGGGCCATCGGCAGTCGGCTTGCCCTCGATCGACCGGCGGACGTTCGATGTTTGTTGATGGTGGTGGAGACTCGGATGAGCAACCCGTATATGATGGACCGCCGATTTTTTATGACGACACGTCGGAATCGGTTGAATATCATCGTGGTGATGTTGGGAAGGCACTTGTCCTACGTCGTTCCTGCTTGACACCTCATGGGGATGTTGATGTGTCTAGCCAACGACACCAAATTTTTGAGTCCACGTGCACGGTAGGTGATCGGGTTTGTAAATTTATTATTGATTCGGGTTCTTGTGAAAATGTGGTTGCAGAAGAAGCAGTGGACAAGCTCTGGTTGTCAACCGAACCACACCCGCGACCTTATTTTTTGGCGTGGATACACCGTGGGAATGGCGTCACCGTCAACCGTCGCGTGCTTGTGTCTTTCTCTATAGGCGCGTCTTACCGCGACAGGATTTGGTGTGATGTTGTCCCCATGGACGCGTGTCACCTGTTGTTGGGACGACCCTGGCTGTTTGATCGGGCAGTCTCTTACGATGGTCGTCTTAACACCTATACGTTCAGTTTTGAGGGTGTTAAGATGATCTTACAGTCGGCCCCGCCACGTCCCTTGTCACCGTCCTCCACTTCTCCAGTTTTGTTCTTTTCAGGCAAGGCATTTGTGGAGGAAGTGAAGGAAGGTCCTCTCGTTCTCTTATTGGTGGGATCCGACTTGTCTTCCCCTCAGTCCCCTCCGGTTTCCATCCTTCCTTTGTTGGAGGAATTTTCAGACGTTTTTCCGACTGAGCTGCCCTCAGGGCTTCCTCCTTTGCGAGATATTCAGCATCAGATTGATCTGGTGCCTGGCGCTGCCTTTCCAAACCGTCCTCATTACCTCATGAGCCCGGCAGAGCATGACGAGCTCCGACGACAAGTGGATGACCTACTCCAACGAGGAATCATTCAGCGTAGTCTCAGCCCGTGTGCCGTTCCAGCTTTATTGGTCCCAAAGAAGGATGACTCTTGGCGTATGTGTGTGGATAGCCGGGCCATTAATAAAATCACTGTGCGGTATCGTTTTCGCATTCCCCGACTGGATGACCTTTTAGACCAACTCCATGGCACGACTATTTTCACCAAGCATGACCTTCGGAGCGGTTATCACCAGATCCGTATTCGGCCGGGAGACGAGTGGAAGACGACATTCAAAATCCGGGAAGGCCTCTTTGAATGGTTGGTGATGCCTTTTGGATTGTCCAACGCACCGAGTACTTTTATGCGTGTGATGAATCAGACTTGGAGGGACCTCATTGGTAAGTGTGCGTTGTTTATTTCGACGACATTCTTATTTACAGTCGTTCTCTGGATGACCATTTATTGCATGTGCGTGCGGTGCTGCTTATTCTTCGAGCGGAGTCCTTCTATGCGGCTCCTCAGAAGTGTGTGTTTTTGGTGGACACAATTCTCTTCTTGGGTTTTGTGGTGTCGGCAGTTGGCATTTGCGTGGACGATGGCAAGGTTGCGGCAATTCGCGAGTGGCCTACGCCGATGATGATCACGGAGGCGAGGAGTTTCCACGACCTCGCTTCATTTTGCCGTTGTTTTATCTCCCATTTTAGTTCTATTATGGCCCCTATTACCGATTGCCTTGCCGGGAAATCGTTTGTTTGGACAGAGGCGGTGGCTCAAGCCTTCGCTTTGATTAAGGAGCGCCTCACTTCAGCTCCCGTCTTGGTTTTGCCAGATTTTTCTCTTCCTTTCGAGCTCTGTTGTGATGCTTCCAAGGTCGGCATTGGGGCGGTACTTAGCCAGGACTCTCGCTCGGTCGCTTTCTTCAGTGACAAGATCTTCAGGCCGCGGCTTCGTTATTGCACGTACGACATTGAGTTTTATGCTCTCTACCGAGCTGTTCACTATTGGCGACATTATCTTTTCTAGCGTGAGTTTGTGCTCTTCTTTGATCATGAGGCCCTCCACCACATTGCTTCTCAGGACAACATTTCGGCTCGACATGCTACGTGGTCTTCGTATTTGCAGCAGTTCACGTTTGTCCTGAAGCACCGGTCGGGCTCGACTAATCGGGTGGCCGATGCACTTAGTCGCCGGGCCCTTCTGTTGACTGACATGCGTGTCACGGTGGTCGGCTTCGACACGCTCCGGGAGTTATACGGTACTGATCCTTTCTTTGGGCCCATTTTGCATCGCCATTCTGCTGGTCCTTTCGAGGATTTTTTCCTTGATGATGGCTTTATTTTTTGGGGCGTGAGGTTGTGTATCCCAGATTGTAGCCTGCGTTTGAGATTGGTGTTTGAATTGCATGGAACGGGTCATGTGGGCCGGGATAGGTCTGTTGAATTGGTCCAGCGTTCGTACTTTTGGCTGACTTTACGCCGGGACGTTGCCCGTTTTGTGGCCCGCTGTCGGATTTGTCACGTTTCTAAGGGGACTGCGACGAATGCGGGTCTATATCGCCCTTTGCCGATTCCATCCCAGCCGTGGACAGCCATCAGCATGGATTTTGTTTTGGGGTTGCCGCGCACACAGCGGGAGTTTGACTCTATTTTTGTAGTGGTGGATCGTTTTTCTAAAATGGTTCCCTTCATTCCTTGCAAGCGCACTTCCGATGCCCTCCATGGCGCGCAGTTGTTTTTTCAGGAGGTCTATCGTCTTCATGGTCTCCCGTCTTCGATCGTATCCGACCGTGATTCACGTTTTCTTAGCCACTTCTGGCGTAGCTTGTGGCGCCTAGCCAACACGCGTCTCGATTTTAGCAGTGCTTACCACCCGCAGACGGACGGCCAGGCAGAGGCCGTCAATTGCTCCCTTGGTAATCTTCTACGTTGTTTGGTGGGTGAGAATTTGCATAGTTGGGATGCACGGCTTAGTCAGACTGAGTTCACCCATAATTCGGCTGTGAGCCGTTCCACGGGCCTGTCTCCTTTTCGCGTGGTTTATGGGGTCCAGCCGCGGGTCCCGGTCGACTTGCTGACCCTCCCTTCTTCGGTCTAGCCGGATCAGCAAGCCGAGGATCTTATCTCGGCGCTGCAGCACACGCATGAAGCAACCCGTGCCCGGCTCGAGGAGGTGACAGCCGCGTATAAACGGGGCGCGGATTCTCGCCGGCGGCTCGTCGAGTTCGACGTCGGCGACTACGTGTGGGCGGTTTTGACAAAAGACCGCTTTGCGGCTCATGAATATAACAAGCTCTCTCTCTGCCCGAAAAATTGGCCCGGTTGAGATCGTTGAGAAGATAAATCCAAATGTTTACCGTCTTCGACTTCCTTCGTTTCGGACGTGTTTAACGTCAAACACCTTATTCCTTATCTTGGCGATAATTCAGGCGACGAGATCCCCTTGGATTCGAGGGCGAATCCTCCCCAACCGGGGGAGAATGATGGCGACGAGATCGCCTTGGCATACTTGGAGAAATATGATCGACGTCGGGCTTAGACGTGTCACTATTGCTGCTGCTATTTATTTATCTACTGCTTTTATTTAATAAGGAATTTTATTACTATTCTTATTATTATTAGTAGAAGTATTATTTCTTATTTATTAGGGTTAGGAGATTATAAATAAGGGGAGTCTTTCATTTGTTACAGCGGCTTTGAACGATTGAAATAAAATGTTCCTTTGAGTTTTATCTGTTCCCATCGTACGCTTTAATCTGCATCAGTCAATAAGACACTTTTTAAACCCAACACAGTTGGAGATGTTCAGAGATACTTGTTTTGGAAAGTTTGTGGATTTACCACATTGTGTGGTTCAGTGTCAACTTATTCACATGATTCTATTTAGGGAAGTTCTGCCAAAAAATTCAAATGAGCTTTGGTTTGATTTTTTTAAAAAAATAATGAAGTTGGATATGGGTGAGTTTGCGGTGGTTTCTGGGTTATTAAACATAGAGAAGTTGGTTTGTTTGACACTTATTTTGAACCTTTAGGTCGTCTAAGTAGGGATACTATAAAGATGAGGTTTGTTTCGCAATTGTGGAATTCAGACGAGGATGCAGTAAAACTTGCTATGTTGTATCTGCTTGCTACCTACTTGATGGGCAATGGGCCTAATGTTTTATTTAGTAGATCATACCTTGCTATATTATATAGCAAAGAAGTCGGGATTTTGATTAGGCCTCGAATGCTCAGGTGGAAAGCTGAAAATACTTTGGACATGGAGGTTGTTATAAGAAGGTTTTGCAATCTGCAGCATGAATAGGTGCATTTTCTGTTTAATATATTGCACTTTTATTTTTATTTTTTTTCATGTCTTATTTTCACATAAAGTGATGTGTTATGTGTTATTATTGTGTTGTTATGAGATCAAATTTTCAAAGAGAAAAATGAGTTTTTACTTTTTACGGTTTCAGTGTGTTGGAGGTTCAAAAGAAATCAAGGTTGATGAGTGTAAAATGGATTATGTCACCATGATGGAGAAAATGTTTGCTAAGCAGGAACAGATGAAGGTTGATTTGCATGACCTCAAAGTTTTGTTGGGTGATTACATGGAAGAAGATTGCATTTTTATCTACATGTAAGAAGAAAAAAAATTGCTTTCAGATGTCGCAATGAAAACGAGTACAATTGAAATTCTTATTCTGAACAATCTCGGTAAATAGCAGATTGTTTTAAAAAAATTGCAAACTAATGAATACCTGCCTGCTTGCCTCGTTCGGTGATAACGTTGATTTCAAGCTTTCCTTTTTTTCTGATTTTGTTTTTTTCTTTCTTTTCTTCTTGCACTTACATAATCCTATTCATTGTTGCTGAAATAGTTCTTTAGTTTCTTCACATGACCTTTTTTAGTGGTGATTTCTGGAATTGTTCAAAAAAAATACCTGATGGAGATGGGGTGGTTAATAAACAAGTTGGCTTTATTTTTAACCGACCTCTAAATTTGAGTTGTCAATGGTGTCGGTTAATAATTAGTCTAATATATGATTAACTATATCTTTAATCTACGTATTTTTTGGAAACTTTTTTGGCATTCAAGGAATTGTGTGGTACCTGCTGCAACTTTGTAAATCACTATAAGATAATAAAAGTAGTTACGAATTTTTGCCATGAAACTTGTGATTTGATGTGTGAATGGAAGGTGGGGGGAAATATTTATCAGTTTTTAGGTGATTTTTTTTTTCTTTTTATGGCGACGGTATAATTATTTACCCTTTGTCCATATTTGTTTGTTCAGTGTTTCTTTTTTCAGCCTATTGACTTTGTAACTCTTTTTCTTTACCTTCGGCCTATTTTTTCGTTATTAGTTTGGATGTTTTCATGGATGTTTGAAGAGCGAAAGAAATATGCATCTATCTTTATCTGTATGCATCCCTTGGATTTGCGTGGGTTTCATTTACTTTTTTGGTTACATAAGCTCTGTTCATCATTGTCTGGTCTTGAAACTTCCAGTCTCCATTTTTTGGATGCATACTTTTTTTTCGAGAATTGTAGACTTAGATGAAATGAGAAAGTAAGTAGAATATTTGCTTGGAGATGTTTCTCTAATATGAATGCATTTTTCAGGATATTAAGTGATCTCTGTTTTAGAAGATTAAACTAGCATTCGGAGCTCAATGTAAACACTAACAATTTAGGAGGAAGTGTTGTTAGGGGCCATCCATTCCATTATATAGATGACAGAATTACTTTGTTTTCGGACATGGCATGTTACTTTGTAAGGAACTTTTACATTTCGTTTTTATGCTTGTATTTATCTTTTGTTTTGCATTGCTAGTTTTAGGAGAGATTCTGCTGCAAAGGACATTTTGAAATAGGAGTTTTTTTTCAAGCGTCATTGTGGTTATATTTTGCTCGATGAGCGTGCTATATAATTAATGTCATTATGTGAAGTTTCACCATCTTGATTTGTATAATTATCTCATTTTAGCTCTTGAGTTGTTCTCTAATCTTTATTTAGTTAGTTTTATGCATAGAACATGGAATAATAATGTTGGTCATAAATTATGGTGAACAATTAATCGACAATTTCAGTTTGATTAAAGCCAGCCAGTACACGAGTTTGCTCAATCAATATATATATATATATATATATATATATATATATATATATATATATCTTATTTCCTTTCTTCACCTTTCTTTTGAGTGCATTAATATGTATTTTTAAATATTTTTTCAATGATTAATTTGGTCAAGACTCAAGGTTGGTCGCTTGGTAGCTGAATAAGATAAGATGCTCTTGCTTTATTCTTGTCTTCTGGTGATTGGTTGAGATACCTGTTCATAATTTGAAAATCGAAATAATTTATTTTTTAATCTTTTTGTTTTATAAAATTATTATATTTTGCATGAATGAATAAAGTGTGTTCATTATATTCTTAAAAAATAATTTGATATAGCATTTAGGATAGCTCGGTGGATCAACCTAATAGAGCTTAGCTCGGGGTTGACAGTTCAGAGGCTTTATATGATTAGCAATCTCATGGGGCAGTGAATCATGGGGAAGAACGACCTAATGACCTAGCCACCAAGGTGAGATAGGTAGCTCATGGGAAAGGTTATGAGTTAGGGTATATGAATTAGGAAAGAAGGATCAACCACGACCCGACAAGCGTAGAAGAATCCTGTATAAATAGGTTCCCACATAAGATACGAAATCCAAAGTTGTGCATAACTTGAAAATAATATAAGTATGGATCCCTTCCCCAATTGCAAGGAGACTTGGGAATGAGAATCTAGATCTCTCTTAAAGTATTATGATTCTTATGTATATGGATGTCTTCCAAACAATAACAGATGGAGTGTATTTATAGGCTACAATAGGGATGCTAGGGGAGTGTTAAATTGGACTCCCCATATATATATGAGTCTAATTGTGGGTCAAGCCCACTCCGCTCATATATAAAGAAGTATTATTGAAACTCTCGATTTAACTCCCAAATAAGGATTTGAGTTTTGATTCATAATTACTCGAATTACCTCCTCATGTTTAAGATATAATGTCTATCAATCGATTCGATTACTGATAATTAAGTCAATTGAACTCTTGTGCTGAAGCTAGCACCACTCAATGCATTATTATTATGTCGGAACTTAATCCACTTGAAGGGTTTAACATAATAATCCTTCTGAATTCACTTCGGAGACATTATCAAACTGATGCACATGGTGACGTTAACCTCAGGCTTGGAGGTTTTCTTCTAGGAGGTCAAATAAGAGATAGTGGCAGACAATATAGCATCTATATAAGACAAAAAGATAAGTAAGCAAAGAGCAGTAATGAGTAGTCAGACCACAAGAAGTTAAAGCATGTATTATCTGTTAAAGTATACATAGGCCTAAGCCTATAAGGCCCATGAACAATTCTATATATACGGTCCTCTTTCACAACAAAGGATATCATCAATTCATCCATCATAAACCCTAGGTTTGTAACATGGTATCAGACCAAAACAAATATTTTTTTCCCTTTCCCTTCAAGTCTCACCTCTCGCACCAGTCATCTCGCCGCCCCCATATTCACTTTCCGGCCGAACATCGGCGGAAAAGTTCGATGTCATGGTCTCACGCGCCGGCGCGTGGCTCGTCGGAATTTTTTCCCGCGAACGTCCGTGAGATCGGATTTTCGAGAGGTTGCTGCCAGTGGTGTCAGTTTTCTGTTTTGACGTCTTTTGGGTGTCCGTTTTGGCATTTTTCAGACCACCCCATTGCGTGGTTAGGGTTCATTTATTCCAATCGATCCCGACACTATTCAGTTCCTGTTTTCAGTCTTCTCTTGTCCGTCTTGTGATATTACGCTGCCCGTCGCAGTCACGAGTCATGTCGCAACTCAATGCCATTGTTATCAATATCACTCTCGATGGCCAGAATTATCGGGCGTGGGCTTTTTCTGTGGAAACTGTATTAAGGGGTTATGGCCTAGCCTTTCACTTGCCCGATGATGGCCTTGAACGAAAGGTTGACAATAGCAATGTTGCTGAAATCCGGATATGGCAAATTAATGACGGAAAAGTAATGGCTGCCATCGTCAATAGTGTAAAACAGTTCATGATTATGAGCCTTTCCACCTTTCGAACAGCTAAGACGTGTGGTCCTATTTGCAACAACGCTACGTTCAGGATAGTGGTGCACTCTTGCACACACTTATGCAGCAAATTCATGTCCTTGAACACAATGATATGTCCATTGATGAGTACTACTCGGCTTTTGATCGTCTGATGGGACCATTAATATCCATGGTGCCCCCATGCCCGGAAGAGGAGTGTACAGCACATAAATTTGTTGAGAAATTTTTTATATACCACTTTGTCATGGGTGTTAGAGCAGAATTTGAGTCTATTCGTACACGGTTGCTTTATAACTCTTCTACTTTAACCATGGCACAAGCATTGTCTGAATTAATTGATGAAGAGACTCGTCTTTGTTCTCTGTCAGTTGCTCCTTCGTCAATTTCTCATGGTGTATTGGCTGCTTCTCATCGGGCATTCACTCAACGGGCTATTGCACCAAAAGGTGGTTCTCCAGACTCTTGTCCGCATTGCGGGAAAACAGATCATATTGCGGAAAATTGTTTTTCTCAACATCCAGAAAAATTGGCTGAGTACCGTGCAAGGTCGCTCTGCTCGGACTCGTGGTACGCCTACTGTTACTAAAGGGTCTGCATCTGTTGCTGCTGCCTCTCCTCTAAATTCTACTCGGTCTTGGTTTCTCGATTCAGGGGCATCATTCCATGTGACTTCTGATCAGTCCCAGTTGGTTGCCTGCAAATCGGTCACTGATGGTACTGTTATCCAGACAGCTGATGGCACATCTTATCATATTACTCATGAGGGTTCTCTATGCAATTCAAATTTTTCAGTACCTAATATCTCTTATGTTCCTAAATGATCCATGAATCTTCTTTCAATTGGTCAGGTCACTGATCAAAACTGTTTTGTTGGATTTGATGATTCATCTTGTTTTATTCAAGATCGTCGAAGCGGGACTGTGATTGGGACTGGCCATCGCCGTAGAGGTTCCTCGAATCATTACATCTTAGACACTTTGCATCTTCCACCTCCCGTTGGTTCTACCGCTCATGTGTCATCCATTGCCTCGTCTTCCACCTCTTCCTTTGCCAAATGGCATCATCGTCTTGGTCATTTGAGTGGGTCTCGTTTGTCTACTTTGATTAGTAATGGTTGTTTAGGTCGTACTTCTATTGAGTCTAATTTTCATTGTAAGGGTTGCAAACTCGGAAAACAGTTGCAACTTCCATATTCTACTAGTATTTCTCAATCCGCTAGGCCTTTTGATCTTATTCATTCTGATGTATGGGGTCCGTCCCCTTTTTCTACAAAAAGTGGCAATAAATATTATGTTCTTTTTATTGATGATCATTCTCGATATACTTGGATCTATTTTATGAAACATCGTTCTCAGTTGTGTTCCATTTATAAGGATTTTGCTCGCATGGTTCATACTCAGTTTTCTAATCCTATTCGAGTTTTTCGTTTTGATTCTGGTG